AATCAAGAATTTTGAAGGAAAAGGTCAAGCATAAACAAACAGGTTTGTCGACACCCGCATTCACTCCGAAAATGGGTGAATCTTTGAATTGTTGCCGCATAGGGCCTTCAGGTGCCAGTCGAAATCTTAACAGATTGATCAAGTAACGGTCAAGAAAGCTGATGTACACGACCCACTGTCGCAGTTTCTTCAATGGTTGCAGCTCGTTATCCATAACGCCAGTGGAAGGATCAATTGTGGTGAAAACACACCTAAATTTCGTTTCGAGATTTACAACAAATGTAATCAAAGCAATGCTGACCTTGTGCATGGTTTGAAGCACTGTAGACGAGCTTCCCCTATCTGGAGATCAATCCATTTGTCCTCGTCCCAAGCTGCACAGTGATCAACAACAATCACAGGGCGGAAATTTTTACTGGAAACCTAAAAAGAGTGGTACTGAATTTAAGAACAAAATTTTTGAAAGCAGTGCAGAAAAGGGGAAAGAAAAAAAGCAAAAGGAGCATAAATAAGATCATAAATTGCTAGGTTCATCAAAGATGCTGATAGCTCGAGTGTCTCACGTAACTGACATGCTCCAAATAAGGTTAACAACACATAGATGACCGAAGATTTCCCCCCAGGTATACAATATTCCCGCCTTTCATTCAGTTATGCTGCCGGTTGTTAAGGTAAGCATGCCCGACTATCCCTTCCCTTAAGTTCTCAGTAAATGCGTATTCAGAGGAGTAGCCCGGTCATTTCAGCACTCTGATACCACCACCTTGAAGCAGTAATCGAATAGAATGCGAGCCGTGGCCCGCGGCTCTGTCTTCCTGCAAATATAGTTACAGCACCGCGAAAGTCTCAGGAAGGGCAAAGACTGAGCTGAAGTGCTTCTTGTTATTTCTGTAGGTTCGATCAAGATGGGGAAGCGAATTCCGTTTTGATTTTTTCCTAATCATTAAAGATGATCTAAACAGAAAACGTGCGTATCTTACAGTTTACCGAGTACCGTTTAGTCGTTCCGAGTTTCAAGAAACTTCACATCTGCTCCATGCTGTAGAAAAGTCCTAGGGCGAAAATTACATGATTGCTAGCTTCTGGGGAATGATCAGGCAAGAAGCTTCCTTTAATGCGTGCTTCATTTCTTTCTTTAATGTACTCCTCCGACTGAATAACTAAGTATAAGTTCGATGGTCAATTTCGAGACCGGAGGGTTCATTTGAGCATCATCTTCCCTAAGGGTGGGGAAGAATTTGAGACAATTCGAGTAGCACTTTTGTTGCTTGCAGCAAATAAGAATTACAGACGACTCATGACTAAAGTCGAAGGTAGATAGCAGACGGTTTTTCTTCTTCATGCATTTGGGTGAAGGACTGAGCGATAAACGCTTTCTTGGGCTCTTTTTCTGGAAGTAGCTAAACGCGAAAGGAAGCGAAAGACAGGAACAAAACTGAACAAAACTGAAACTTCACTCATCCAGCACGTTATTATAATCTATCGCTCAGGAGAAATAGATTGAGGAAGGTTCCATGGCTGAACAGTCATTTAAAGAATCTTATACGGGTGGATTTTGAGGTGTGCTCATACTCTTTCTATGCATTGTCCCTGGTTCGCTTATTTGTTTTTCTAGACAGTTTTCCTGCCTCAGAGCATTGTTCTACTAACGGAACAGTTTTACATTGATTACTTCATTCTATTGTATTAGTTATTGATATTATATCATATAATTACTAATGATTAATGATATTATTGACTATACATTATATTGTATTAAGTATAAGCATTATCAGTAAAATATATAACTTACAGAGATAATATTGTTCTCAGCATTGAAATGATTCTGGAAGGAGTTCATAGCCGCTCATTTTAAAGTCACAGCTCACGATAATTTTGAGGTACCCATTTTTATTCGAAAAGCGGAAGTATAGATTGGGAGTAGTTCATCGGCAGAGAAGAAAGCGAGAGAATTCGCGGATTTCGAGGAAAATATGGCATCACAAAAGTAGGGAAAACAGAGGTTGGACGAGACTGCCATGACGGAAACAACATGGAAGGGGTATTCGGACGAGATTTAAGCTATTGCAATTGCACGAAGAGCTGGTTACATCTAGCCAGAACTGTACAAAACTGTCTTTCACTGTCGCTATGAGTCATAGCAAGTTGTTTGAACTTCCTACATGGGTTCCCTTTTGATCTGGCAGCCTCTTCAGGCCCGGTGAAACTCGTACGAGGATACACACGAACCAATCCTTGAGCCTTTATAACCCTTTAACTAGGCCGTTTTCCGACCTAATAGTGCCAGATATGGTATACGCGGGGGCCTTAAATTCATCCCGTTGGCGAATCTCAGAAACCATTTTTATCGTAAACTGTACCTTTAATATTGAAATACTCACATCCCTATCCAACTTTGCGTTGAGATCGTCCAAAGAGGCTTGAGTGGTAATCATATATGGCGCTAGGTCAGCATAGGCACACTGAAACGGTTTTTCATTTTGTTGATGCATACTCGGCTACTGAAAAAGAGAAATTTGCTCTGATATAGGGAATCACATCATCTTTTCTTTTTGGAACGTTGTTGTTCCACCAATCCGGGTGTGTAACACATGTCCTTTCGGTGAAAAGACCCTCTTCATACATCAGAAGACGAGCATCTGCAATGTTATGGTCCTGATCTTGAATAAACACTCATAAAATTTTGGGAGCTCGAACCTGGTTCATCAATTGCTTTCGAAAAAAACTCAGCCGCCTTGTCACCGCAGTCGAGACCATCGGTACGTAACTTGGAGTGAAGCCTAAATTTCTAAATCTCTCAGCGAACACTGTCGCAGGAAAAAGGTACACCAGCGATGTTGGTAAATTTGATATGTTGAGTAATGGACTATGAATTAGAAAGCCAGCAAAAGCATGTTATCATATGCAACAGTATACAAATGTAATTTGAAGGGGAAGTTTTATAATATCTATTCCATCCCAGGTGAATCTGCTGAACGTGCTCTAATCCGGGATGGATGGAAGAAGTGATTGTTGAGTCCCTACATATATATCCGAAGGTGTAACAAATTGGCTGCAGCCAATGGTACTCCTGCACTTTGTTCCTTCCTTGACTCATTTCAAGTGCCTATTATGCTTATTATCCGGACCTCAGGAGTGCCATGATTTTTTTGGAGGACGATGGAGCGGCCAACTCTAAATTTTGCAGACATAATAGTAGATATACAGATTCTATAGGCATTTGAGAAGGAAAATCGAGATTTGTTCGATCTGAATACATTGGAAGAAGTGCATGAACTTGTTATCTTCCAAGCAGCAGAGGACCATCTTCTATTGAAACAATCATTTCTTGTAGTTTCATGAAGACAACTTCGAATAAGGAGTACTGTAAAAATGGCAGGCAGAAGCCTGGCAGAAACTTACGTTGCAGTTCGGATAACCCTGCTTCGAGACACTTCGGCCAAGTCCACTTGTGCACTATTTCCGTCCCTGGATCGCAGGGTTAAGATGCCGTCCTCGATCTTACACTCTATAGTAACCATCACAGGTTTTTGACGACCAGTGTAAAACCTGGAAGCACTCTGGTTTAATATTGATAGAGGCTATCCTTTCTTTTCGTGAGGAATCCAAACTGTCTTACCGTCCGGTTTTGCCATCAATGACGATGAATCGTCGATCAAAGTGTTCAGCAGAAATCGGCCCCAATTCATGGCAGTAGAACGAAAACACCTACAAAATCGGCTTTCACTAAAGTTCCCTGTAGAGCAGAAGTATGTAGAACCCACACTGATTCCCTTACAAGACTTCACTGGGTACACATACAATTCCTTGACTATTCCGATAGGAACAAGAGGGGCTGGACAAGATCGGAGGTAGCTCCACAAGCGAGAGGCGACCTTCAATTTGGCAAGAGGTCATAGTTCATTTGCAGCAAATAATTTCTAAGGAAAAAACATGGAAACTACTGAACATTAAATTTACAGCGTACGTGACAACAGAAGCACCGACGATGCCAATAAGCTGCTTTTTGTCTTCGGAGAACATCTGAAACGATTTTGTCCGAGATTGCTGAAAAAGCAACAAAACGTTCACATGTAGATTCGAGAGAGAGAGAGTGGTCGAAGGGTTCATTGTGGTCTGATAAGAGAGAAAGTCGGGGAAAATCAATGATGATATCAAACTGGTTGCTCGGCCTTCGAAAAACCAATCCAATTATATAAAGTTTTTTTTGAACAAGTAAAAAGCAGACATAATATGAATGGGCCTTTTGGACTACTTCTTCTCTAGTTTCCAAATTCTCTGTCGCTCAAGGAAGCCTCGGGAAACTTAAAGAGTCAGTTCAAGCCGAAAAAAGCTCAGCGGCTAGAAGTGAAAAATCACTCATTCGTACTCTTCTTTTTTTACTTTTGTGGAGTAATTTTTATTCCTATCATTATGGCTAATCAAGAATGCATTTTATTGTTTCTAGGAGTTCAAACAGTGTGTCTGGTATTCGCCAATTAATGGTTGTTTTATCAGAATCTACTTCAAAAAATTTTAGTACTGCCGCGTAGGACTGAAAAGCCTGCCAGCAGTTACACATTGTTATGCTCATTCTTCTCACTGTTTGTAAGCACAGTTCACAATGAAAATGGGCTCTAAGATTTCTCCTAGAAATGAATTTGTGACTCTCAAGGATAGAACAAGGGCCTAGATAAGGCATAATAAGGATCCCAGAAGCGGCTTCAGCAGACGAAGACACCCAAAGGCGAACGAAATCATAGGTGTCACAGTAGCTGTAGAGATTACACTATTGACGCACGGACGCCCACGTTGCACACAGGCAGCTTACTGTGCTCAGCTATGCGCAATGGCGCACACCTCGGGACAGCTCGTCCAAATACTCCTCTCCTCTCATACAGCGTTGTCGTCACATTCTCGCCCTACCCTAGGCTTACTTCTTTTTTGATGCCTGCTATTTCTCAATATAACTCGTTGACTTTTGCACATTCATCGCTTTTTTGCACTAGTCTGGCCTCTCACATCCATTATTCGTCCTAAACCAGATAACCCAAGATTTTCGTGAGCTGTGCTTTTGAAGTGGTATATTACGATGCATTTCTTGAGTGACGAAGGGAAGCGATCCACTTTGACAAACTTTGGCGCCTGTTCTGGCTGCGACCTTGAACTAATGCTTTGTCTGTCACTACCAAGCGTATTTCGCTTACGTACGCTCATCCCTAATTTAATCATCTACCGAACTTATAAAACTGATGCAGTTCGTAGCATGCAGTATAAGATTTGAAAAAAAAACACATACATACGTTTCATTTTGATGTAGTTGTTGACTGCTTTGGTGAATTGTGGGCGTAACGTCGACCTTGGGCGGTTCTCGGTAATGTAAGGCTCAAGAGGATGGTGCCGAGGTAACACAATTATAGGTACGAGCCCCTCCCACAGCCAAAGCTTTGCTCGCAACTCGTCGTCCCTGTAGATGTTACATACGTGCTCTTGAGATATTAAGCATTTAGGATTCCTTATAATCAGTGCCTTTCTGTTTGCTATTATACATACAGATCTATTAATAGCCCGTTTGCAAAATCAGTAAGCTGTAAATCGCCCTACAAATATAAGCAGATGACGTTATCACCAACACTTCGTGTAGTCAGATATTTCTCCTTCACCCCACAGGGCTGAATTACCTCGGACCGCTTACAGTTAGAGTAGATGGTGGTTCTGACTGTGAAGGATGTGAATGTTTTTTCACATGACCCGACCGAACAATATTGAAACGGTAACAAACGAAACAATGAAGGCATTTTCGAACACATTCCACAAATTTGTCGGGTTGGAGGAAGGAAGCCTCAAAGGCACTGTTCACGAAAAAACGGTTTCGGAGATCTGCACATGGTTTAAATTCGACGCCCCCTCTGATACCATTTGTGCAGGAATGAGGTCGGAAAACGGTTTTATAGGGCACAATAAGGGGCCGGAGAGTGAGCCACGGTCGCCCTCCGCCCCTCGCTTGGCCGACTACGAAATCTAATTGCCGTTCATCACTTTCGCATTGGAGCGAAGTTGTCTGCTTGGGTGTGTTGNAACATCGGCTTCGGCTGAAGCTCTCAGTAGAGTAGAAGCTTGTAGAACCTACACTGATCCCCTTACAAGACTTCACTGGATACACATACAATTCCTTGACTATTCCGATAGGAACAAGNCGTCGCCTTCCTGCACTCGCCCGAACACTCCCTTAACCGCCGTTCTTCCAATGTGAAACTCGTCCAACCCTCCTTTCCAGCTCTTTTTTGACCCTTTCTATTTCTTTTTGTTCATCGTTTTTTGCGCTCTTTTCGTTGTTATCGCTTTATTCTAGAGTAGTTCTATGGATTCCCGTCAAACAAAGGGTACCCTAAATTTATCGTAAACGGTGCCTTTAATCTGTCTTCTGTGGCAGTGCATTAATTAACATTAATCATTAACATTAATTATACATTGACACTTGGAGCCGAATTCTCGATGAAACGAGAGCAACTTTCACACAGGAGGAGGAGCCAGCAAGAAAGTTGTAGAAGAAACTCATAAAATGACCCCTTATTACTCCTTATTTCCCATGAGCCGTGTTCTCTACGAGACTACTTCGCTTCGTGTAAAAACCTTTTTCTAATTGAATTGTAGGAAAATCGTGAGAATGAAGCTCTTGGAAACTCCCCTCACTGAAATCGGGAGCTGCCTCAACACAGGACCTTTAGCGCTCTAGAAACTGAAATCAACGTCAGCGTTCTTGCCCTCCGCCCAATTGGATTTATCTATGAAGACATGAATCTTACTATCTAGCCAAATACCGAAGCGGAGGATGACCACGATTCACTCTTAAACCTATTGGGAGGCCACGGACGCAAAACTGGATAGTGGAGACTCGAGCACTGCAGTCATTTCGAGTTTTGACAGTGGACTACTGGGCAATCTTGAAAAATTTATACCTCACTGCGCTCATGGAAACTCACCACCATCGATTGGATCGAAAACATAGATCTATGAGACTTTCTCGCAATGAAGGAACAGATCTGCTAGGAGATAGTCGCAAGGAACGATATTATTGGAAAATGACTAGAATTTTAGAGCTTATCCCCAGTATGTAGCGATCGAGCAGCACTTGAAATTGAATTTGCATGGGCGAACCGTGTTCTCAAAAGCCCGGTAAGCCAGCTCATTCCCCAGCGACAGGAGGAAATTGCATGAATGAAGAATTCAACCAATAAGTATGAAACACAGGAAAATCAAGTTACAAATAAAACGTCAGGCATAAACAAAAAGTATTCTCTGCGACCTAGTCACGAACAAATTCGAGCAGCGCAAGAGGCAACCCAGCAAGGGTACAACTGTTTGTGTTACACAACACTGTCCAACAGAAGAAATGGTCGATAGCTCGCTGGCCCTCTCCAGCTTCGCGGCATCCTCTGCGCAGCAGACATCGACAGCCACCGAGAACGCGCTTTGCTTTCATTGCAGTCAGCTTGAATGCGAAGCAAATGGTGTGTTTCTTCACGAACCAGAGTTGCCCAAGTACGAGTTGTACGTAACCGATCACTGTTCGAGACAACTACACCCACCAATTGAGAAACTGCATTCCATACCATCAGAAGAGGTTCTCCCGCATTTCGAAGTAATACGGAAGTCATGCTTAGAGAATGGCATAGTAGCAGTCGATAATTCGAGCTTCACATGACCATTTCGCTCAATGATTGGCCGGCTGTTACACCCGGAATGTTTTCTTGTTCTCGAACTCTGTTTTTTGGTTTTCGAACTCGAATTGGGTGCGAATTTTCAAGTACTCAGAACTCTATCCTATTTAGCCCTTTTTCAAAAACATCTGCAGTCCAGTACATATGAAAGTTTCAGAAACGCATGAAAGGTCCCCGGGGATCCTCGTCATCTTCAATCTCTGTTCAACAAATCATGCCTGCCAAATTGCAAACATCTAAACCTCATTCATCAAAATCTGCGCACTGGAAGAAACACAATTATGGTGGCATGGATCTGAGATTAAAATTAATACATTCAAAAGAGGTGCGTATTTGCGCTTACTGATGTTGATGACACTACATTATTAGAAATATGAACGCAGTGCAGTGCTCTACAGAATATACGAAACGCCAACATATGACCACATACACTACCAGCCTACAACAAGAGAACCTCACCACATGTTACTGTTTTGCAGCCAAATACCCCGGTAGAAGTATCTGGGACAAGGCTAACGTTGAGTGATCTAACGTCCCCTCCCCTTCCACGAGTGGCTAACAACTTCGATGCATAGCAAGTATCTCTTTTCACCGGTAGAATCTTAAGTTGTTTGGGATGTGAAAAGTACGATATTCGAGAACGCTGTCGAAGCATCGAAAAGGTACTACAAGTCACGTTGCCTTTACTCAGACTTGCTCCCCGTCCCCTTCCTGCGGTTATAGCAGAAGTCGAGGAGTTTCAGCAGAAATAATGCTGAATACAAACGATATCATATTCGATGGCATCATATACGTACTAAAGAGAGCTGCACAAAAGACGTTACTCAAGCTGTTTTTATTATGCTACAGAAGCAAACAGACGAAAGCTTGTCGCAAATGTACTGTGCAGTCATAGGAACTTGTAATTACGGAAGTGTGACTCGGATGCGTTCCTAGTGCATTGCTCTCCTTCTGGGAGACGATTAGGATGGGGTTATGGGATCACAAGATGAGGGAGGATATACGGTATAGTAAAATGTCTACTTCAACTTGCGAATAATCAGCAAATCACCTTACTAGGGTCCAAGGAGGTCACCCAATTCATTGCACAGATATTCTCACCATCCTCAGGTGTGGATGCTTCCCGCGAGGGGAGGAAACCTCCACAACAGAGGATTAGTGAGAATATCTGGGTAAGGGCTAGCCATACGAGAAACTGACTACGTAGCGCAGCAGAAGCTTTAGCAGAGTTGCACGAGACTTATAGGTTCCTGACTTTAGCAAAGGGCAACAGGAGAATCGAATATCGCAACCAGTACTATGATTATGGAGTTTAGAGAATTTAAACGAGATTGACTTTCTCAAATGCATGAAAAACGGCAAACACATCGACTCCCAATTGAGAACGAATATTACAAACGCAGATTCACGGTGCTCAAAGGAACTATTGTTGGATTGCAAAAAAGTCTCGACTTGTGTATAGAATCAGGTCAGGAATTAGAGAATCATACATTGCAAATAACCGAAAGATATCTTGAACATGTACAATTATATAGAACCATCTATCATAATAAGATGGGGCTTTTGGACAGGGTGTTCAGAAATTAAAGGTTCCAATCCAAAGCACAGACGACAACGAAGAGAGCAACAAAGTAGATTTCCATTCAGAGAAATTATAATATCTTATAAAACCCTATCCAGTAGCGAGTAGGCTGAAGACCTACTCGACCTTGACTGTTAAGTGGACTATGGCAAGTTCCTTAAAGATTAGGACAAGTTCCCTCAGTGTACGTGGGGTCAAACAAACATGAGACGTACTGGGGCGTAGAGCAAATAGGAGACGTTTGCATTTGCCAAATCTGCAGTGAAGCCACTTTAACAGGAGGGTAACGAGAAGAGTCATTACCTTTGTTGACAACATGAGTATGAAAACTCTTTCTTCATTCTATAGATCTCAATGAAAACATTGTAGTATTAGCTGTCCGCTGTTCAAGGATGAGGATTACGAGAATGAAAGGGGGACGTGCACTACGTGCGTCCGAGGGCGCGCGGCAAATTGCATGGCGAAGTTCGTGACGATTTGTACGACTCTGACGCCAATTTCCGGGGGACAAACTCGAAGTAGAATAGTATAGTAAGGTCAGATGATCCTTCTAATTTACTCTCCTTCAAATTTGGGCCTCAATGATGGGCGCAAAAGTCATTTCAAGCGTTACGTACTTCGCCGCGCAATTTGCCCACATCCTCGGACGCACGTAAGTCTCCATACCGGAACGAAAGATGTGGTATTGTTGTCTCGACGCATCTCACTCTACAAACCGATGCCATCACCGAAACATAATGTGCAACTTCTGTAGAAGCGCTCATCACAGCGCTTTGTGCAAATTACCAAAGAAAATCGAACGAAACAAGATCGAGTATCAGCAACCTTATTAACGGTTGGCTACTTCGAAAGAACAACTTGAAGCACCGTCTCCTTGGTCAACCCAGCCGGCAGTATCGCAAATGTAATTACATGAGAAGAATTAAAGAAGCTTCCCTTCTATCCTACTTTTTCGCACAGCTTTGTATACAGTGGCGCTCAAAAGCATTCAGCCAAATGCTTCTTCGGTCGTATTTTTCAGTCGTAACTCCTTTCCTATTAGATCTAATCACGCGAAATTCCAATGTGTGTAGCATGGGTGTAGTGTGAATATTTACCACTATTAACCTGCAGTCCGATCATGCAGATATCCTGAAGGGCTTGAACAAAAAATCAACTGGAAATACAAATGGTGGTCTTTATGGGAGTCCTTTCCTTTCTGCCATGTCTTAAGTGTACGAGCACTAATGTCGAACCCAGAAGAGAAGAAAAACGTACATAAGGTCCGAATAACTGCAGGCGTCACAAACTTGCTTTCAGCATAGTCTACAAACGCCTCCCCATTAGTATGTGGATATGGCTGCTTCGCAGTCAAGTAGTGTTGGACAGTGTAAAATGTGCTTTAGCTAAACCTATCAAAATTTTGATTTGATTTGCTCCACTGGGAAAAAAGTTACGAAAAGTTAAAGTTGGCCGAATATTCTTGAGAACTCTTTACAGTATTCTCCGTTTTTCCTCCTT